CGTGTGCTAAAACAATGACAGCAGCGCGGCGGCGAGGTTGTCTCCTCGTTTTAGGCTGAAATAGGCTTCTTTACTGAATGTGAACTTTCGTTATCATACTTTTATACGATTGAACTCTGAAATTTCAGATTGTTTTTTTTGCCAAGTCTGATTGATCAGAAAAAAAGAGTGTACTAAGTCTGACGAATCAGACAGCCCAAAAACGAATCTGAGGGCCTGGTTGGGTAAGAGGCCACTGTGTGCATGAGGGAAGCTGCATAGGAATTGCCTGCCTGGCTTTTCTTATGATGGAGTGAGAAACGGTCATCAGCAGGGGAAAGCGGTCATCAGCAGGGGAAAGCGGTCATCAGCAGGGGGGGGGGCGGAGAAGAAGGGGAGGGGGGAGGCGAGGCGGAGCAGGAGGGGAAGGGGAGGGGAGGCTGGGGAAAAGGACGACAAGAGATCAGTGAGGGAGGCGAGCATGGTGGGTGGCAGCAGTGGCAGCAGCAGTGGCAGTGACGGGCGGGGGTTGAGATCAGGGGTGAGGAATGTCTTGCATGGATGCATCGGGGGAGCTGCATAAGAAATGCCGGGCAGGCAGTGTGGTTGCTGGTTGTACAAGTGTCTTCACAAAGGACAGGGTATAATGTATTTTGGATCTGCAAGATTGTTCTTCTTGATTACCGTAGATACTGCTCTGGTGGACCTGAGAGGCAATTCTGGGATGGTGGCTACAGGGCCTGAGAGGCAGGGCCTGGATGGCACGACGGTCACGCCGTGGTATCATCAGAACTGAGGCCCCTGTTGCGGCAACAACTGCTGCGGAGTTGTGTGTGCTATGAGGATCATCACAGAGAGTGATGATGGGGGAAAAGGAGGTGAACTGACAATGATGAGGAGAGGCTTGTAGGCAAGGAGTGTGGATAGAATGGAGGTGTGTGTAAGTTGGTGTCTGGGTGATGCTTTGCCTTGTATAGCCAAGGCTAGGCGAACGATAGTGAAGTGAGCTTGTGCGTTGACCTCAGTTGGATTGGATGCGGGTGGGGTTCAACTAGTCTCGATGGCCCGACTTGGCTGCAAGCTATAACTTCCACCACTGAAATCTTTTGTGAAGTTCAGGATGCTCAAGTCTTGATTCATCATCAGTACTGTCATTGCCTGGATATAAGACATATATGTCTTATCTCGTACACTATTCAAAATGCTTGAGTTATCTTGTATTTGGGACGGTTTAGGGTGTCTTATAAGTCTTATAAATGGACAAAGAACAGTTTAGAAGATACCCCCTTGCTATACAATTGCCCCTAACTAACCTGGCTTAACTCGAACACACAAATAGGTGTCTTATAATGAGGCTAGCATGTTTATAAGAGACACCGGAAAATAGACAACCCTTGTCTACTATTCAACACTGTCTTCTATCCGGGCCATGACGGTATGATAAAGCCCAATCCAAGCCACGGCATTTATTTGTATGATAACATATTTGTTCATGTACTTCATGCATGTCTAGTAGCTTGTAAGAGTTTCTGTGGTCCATGATCCATGGGACAGAAGGCAGAGGTGAAGCGAAAGTGGGCGGTACCATGTCCTACATGCCTCTAAATCACCCACACCAACAAAGACATTTCACCGTAACCTTGAAGCACCGTACGGTATAGTAAAAGTGCATGGTCATACCGTATGGCCCCGGATATAGGCGCCGGCCTATTACAGGCGCCGGCGCTTCTATCTGGAGCATGGCGCTTATGGCCAATCCTCGATTATAAGCGCCACCCCTTTTGTACCCTTCCTTATTATAAGCGCCACCCTCAATATTAACACTTTTTTTACCACCACAACAAAAGAAAACAACAACTATAACATCGTTCGCTTCAACGAATACTACAAGTTAGTACACAATTTTAGACTTAATCTGCTATTCTACCTAGGTACACAATTTTAGACTTAATCTGCTATTCTACCGGAACTACCTACTCCTCGTCAGACTCGGGCTCCTGGCAGTTGTTGCCGAAAAATCCGTCGGCGATGATGCCGTCGTCTACATCCACTTCCGTCGTCAGTTGGCTCCGCCTGTGCGCCATGGCGAGGTGGTCCTTACTGCCGTCAAGCGCGTTGCTAATGCCGCAGGTGAGGAAGGCGCGCTTGACGAGGTCGGAGGGTACTGCTTTCCAGGCTTGTGAAATCCATCGAAGGACCACTCCGGGGGGGGGCTTCTTCAAATTCCCTGCACCGCAACAGAGACACCCTGGAAAGCCATGTTAGTGACCAAGGGTGAAAGGGGGATAAACATGCGTGTTTAACGGAAACAACGTACCTGCAGGTGTCAGTTGCTCTTGGCCCTCCTCCTGAAACCACTTCTGGTACTGCTGACAAACAGATGCTTTGAAGCTCTTGTTGATGGAGACGTCGAGTGGCTGAACCTCACCCGTACAACCCGACGGGATGACAGCAGGCACGCAGTTGATCTCGCGGAGCTTCTCCTTCACCCCCTCGGTAAGGTGGCCACGGTAGGAATCCAGCACGAGCATAGAGCTCTTCGCACACCTGCCAAATCGGGGCTGCAAGAAGGGCTTGACACACTCGTCAAGCCAGCGGATGACGCCTTCTGCGTTCATCCACCCGTTCTCGTGGCAAGCCACGACCACATCTGCACACAGAAATGGCACTTAAACTGTTAGCGCGGCATGAGAAACGATACGGTAAGACAGCGGCAGTTGCTACTTATTACCAGGAGGAAAGTTGCCCTTCGGCAGCGTCTTCCGCTTGAAAAAGACCCACGGCTTGAGCTTCGCCCCGTCCGCCGTGCACGCCAGCATCACGGTCACACGCTCCTTCTGGTAACCTGCACTCCGGATGGGCACCGACCGTACGCCCGTCTGATCCACGGTCGTGGTGGCGGGCATCTCCAGCCAGAGCGGCGTCTGGTCAGCGTTGAGGATCCAGCATGGCTCGATGCCGCGCGCGCGACGCATGTGTCGGACAAAACGCCAGAATTTCTGGCACTGCTCCGCAAGATCTGTGAGACGGGGGAAAGCGGGCGGGATAGACGGCAGTTTAGTAAGTGAATTTGAAACTTAGACATAAAAGCAAGGGGCGTAATCTTACGAGCGGCTGTTTTCTGAGCAACCCGCGTCTTCATGCGGACGCTCAGATTCCACCGCTTCCGAAACCGCTCCGACCATCTCTGACTCCCGCTCCACTTGACGTCCGGGTAGAGGATCTTCATGAACTCCCTCGACCACTCCCGCAGACGGCCGACCGACACGGCGGTTCCTTTGCGGCGCCAGTCCAGGAGCCGCTCGTACACCTTCAACTCCATGGGGCGGTACCACGAGGCCCGCCCGCGACCGTGCATGCGCTTCCGCCCGGAGTGTGCTTCTTTGAGAAACCCCGCTGCCACCTTCCAGTCGGCGAGACACTTCCGGTGAATCCCACACTCCCGAGCTAGTGCGCGCACCGACTTCGCCACATCCAGCATCGCGACGTACTTCAACTTCTCCGCAGCGGTGTAGCCTTAGCGCTTGTGATCGCTGATCTTGTGCCTGGGAGAGGGGGGGGGGGCATCACGGTTCTGGGTAGACGGGTGGGGTCGCTTGCGGTTAGCTGGTGGAAAGGAAGGTATCGGCAGTTCCTCGGGGAGCCCGTCACGTGACCAGTACTCGACACCGTCGTCGTCGTCGCCACCAGGTACGCCCTCAGGAAATACATCCTCAGCGGTGCCGCCCTGCGTGCCACCTTCCTCAGCCTCGTTGCCGTCATCACGACTCGCTTCCTCGTCGCCGTCAGCACGGCTCGCTTCCTCGTCCTCAGCCACGTCGTCGTCAGCTCCGAGTGCAGATTCGTCCCACGTGGTGCAATCATCAGGCCGGCCCCAACGTGGTCCAGCGTAAGGTGCGCCGGGTACCTCAACATCTTGGGCCTTGTTGCTTTCCGGTTCCTCCAGCCACTCGTCGAACGCAGTCGGGAGCAGGAGCGTGAGCACGGGCGGATCCCCTGTGTTGTGAGGACATCCCAGAATCGGAGGAGATGGAGGAACAGGAGGAGCAGGAGGCGCAGGCGGCAAAGGAGGAGCAGGAGGAGCAGGCGGCGCAGGAGGCGATGGAGGCTGTGGTGGCTCTGGTGGTTCAGGTGGGACACGGGAGTACCATCCGTCGGCGTCGACTACGAAGGCGGGCCTATGCGCGGGCTTCTTTTTGAACAAGAAATGAGTGCCAGCGAAATCCGCCATGGCTTCCACAGCATGGCGGGCGAGACCAAGAATCTGAATGAAAAAAGTGAAAGAGAAGGCGAAGAAATGAGGGTTTGGAGGGGACCCCTTCTGGTGTGCGGCTCGAGTTCCTCTTCAGGCATAGTCAGATCCCCCCCTGCCTAAACCCGCAGAGGAGGGAATCGCGGCACGTATCTGCTGCGCTGGCAGGAATATGCCACCCCCTTCTCAAAAGTTCGGGTGAAATGTGGCACCTTGGCAGCGCATGTAAACCCTATTGGGCCGCACGCCAGGATGCACGTCATCGCTGGCAGGTGCATTGCTCCAGGACAGGTTCAGTGCGGTGGGAAATCGAGTCGCGGCAGTTTTCGCCGGAATTTCATGCACGATCCCATGCGCAACGTTCACAGTTGTGTTCGCCTTATTGTGGGCTTCAATTTAATACTTCGAAAACCAAAAAATGGAATTTGACATTTTATAAGCGCCGGCGCTTATGGCCGTTCCTCAATTACAAGCGCCACCCCTAAAAAATCATTACTTATTATAAGCGCATATGCGCTTATATCCGGGGCCAAACGGTAATAATAAAAGAGCACACATCGCACTACAACAGTTTCCGCGATAATCAGGACAAACACGGCATCCATACACCAAGAAAAAGAAACAGATTCAGCACACCAGAAGCAGCATTGTTCATCCAGCCGTACAACATCTCCGCTCCACCACAGCAGGGGTCAGTCACTTCTCTCTCTAAGACATAAGGCCTCTCAACTCAACCCACCTGTCCCAAACTGACAAGTCCAAGAGGTGCTTAGCTGTAGGTGGCAGACACACAAACCTGCAATCAACAATGCAGCATTTGAGCAGGAAGAAATGGAGATATTAGACGATGCTCGGCATTCGCACCGCATTTCAGCGCAAGCATGTAGCGCAGTGCAGGCAACCCCCACATCAGAGCAGCTATACACCTCACGCAATCAGAATAGCTCACATAATCAGAGTCGGTCTCGCTCTCAGCATCACGGAAGGCCAGCCACGGGTTGAGCCTGACAAGGTCCAGGGTGCTGGCTCCATTGGCCACGGCAAAGCGCTTCCAGTTCACCACACTGGGGGCCAGTGCGCGGCTCACACAGTCCCAGTTGGCCTTGGCGGGTTCTCTCTCCACACACAGAGAGCGGAACGCAGGGAGGCGTGAGCAGGAGTTGATCATTCCGGGGTTGTACCTCCACAGGTCCTCCTCATAGATGTTGAGAAACTTGGCCACCGAGGCGCATGTGCCATTCTGTGGAAGTGAAAGGCAGCAGGAGGGTGAGAAGAAAAGAGGGATTGGGTGAGGAGCAGGTACCGCTGGGGTTGTACCTCCACAGGTCTTCCTCGGAGAGGTTGAGAAACTTTGCCACTAAGGCACATGTGTCATTCTGTGGGGAGAAGAGGCAACAGGGGAATAGAGGAGAGGAGGGTTTGAGAAGAGGTGGATAACATGGTGGAGACAAGGATGCGGCAACAGGGGTAGTGAAGTTCTGGGAACGTCTAGCGAAAGGAAGGACCGAGTAGCATGTTGTGTGATGCAACCATATGCATTCACGTCTGTCTGCCTCCCATCATGTGTTTGTGCGTTGCATGCGTGGTGTGAGCGTGTGCAAGAAATTTGTGTCTTGTGTGGTTTGGATTTTCTGAGTGTGTGTGAATGTTATTTGGCTTGAGCAGATATCTGAAGTGACTCCTCTGCTCAAGAGCTTTCCGACGAACCAAGTATCGCTTCAATCGGAGCACGAACAAGAAAGTTACGAACGTTGGAGTTCGTATGCTTTTGATATTTGGTTGTGGTGACTATGGGGAGTTGTAGGGTTGACTCGATATGGGGTACAGACTTTTGGGGGTTGGGAAATTCGTCTTTTCTACTGTAGTTGCTGCCAAGTGGTTGGGTGAAACCAAACCAGGTTGGCAAGTGTGGCCAAGTTGGGTTAAGGTGGATGGCATGGGTTGGGAAAGTGACAAAAGTGAAAGTGGGGTTGCCTATGGAGAGGGGAATTGTGTGGCATGGGGTTTCCTTGGTTGGGGACTCTCTTGGGACCTTCCTTCTTGTCCTCCTCATCCCATCCCACCTGGTTTAGTGCTACTCCAACTCTCTTGTGTAGTTAATTGTGAGCTTGTGAGACAATTGTGATTGAGTTAATATTCTATGGCAGCATACCCCCTAGTGCGCCGAAATTCAGAACTCAAGAAATACTTCACCTTATCGTACGATTCAAATTGGTAATTGTAGCCACGGACTAGAGCTACAACATAGCTAAGTTTGGTGAAGTTTTAACAGTGCACCTTTTGTCGACGGCGTTTCTTGTGAAGTCGACGTTTTCTGTCCAGAATTCTAAGCCAACGATTTTGAGAATTTTTGGCACCTAATCTTCGTAGACTCCGTCCTTAGTCTCTTACATAGCAGGTGGTGCATTTTCCGCTTGGGCGAACCATGGTAGGGCAAAGCATGGTAGGGCAAAGCATGGTAGGGCAAAGCATGGTGGAGTGGCACGCGGTGAAAGGAAGGAGTGGGGTTGAAGAGGAAGTGCAATGCATGGGGAAATTTCTGAGCAAATGGCAGCACATGGCAGCACGTGGCAGCACATGGCAGCACATGGCAGCACATGGCAGCACATGGCAGCACATGGCAGCACATGGCAGCACATGGCAGCACGTGGCAGCACATGGCAGCACATGCAGCACGTGGACCACATGGCAGCACGTAGCAGCACATGGCAGCACATGGCGGCACATGGCAGCATGTGCCAGCACGTGGCAGCACGTGGACCACATGGCAGCACATACACGATGCATACATGATGCATACATGATGCATACACAACGCGCACACGATGCATTCTAAGTCTGACTCAGAAGTCAATTGCATACCAGATGGAAGTTAGAGTGGGACACGGGAAACTCACAGGCTGGACGTAGTAGAAGGCAGAGCAAGCTGGAAAATACTCCTTCACATTCACGTACTTTGTACTGATAACCTTGGAGCAATCAATACCCTGGGGGGGGAGGGTAAGTGAGAGAGGGAGGGAAAGAGTAAGTGAGAGAGGGAGAGGGTGAGTGAGATGGAAGGGGTGAGAGAGAGGTAGGGGGTCAGAGATGTTATAGTCACAATAGGCTCCAATGTGCCTAAAACGAAAGATAGAGTGCACAGCCGGATTTCTGCACAGCGGCTTCAAACGTTCATAGCGTTCTGGTCACAGCTTCAAATGACCTGATTCAACTTGGATCTGGAGCGTCTGAACGTCGCCTACAATAGGCAATTTAGATCGCACAATTTCACCAAGTATTGACGACACCGTGCCGGTTTGAACGAACGGCACTATGGCAGCCACTATAGTCTTAGAACACAAAATAGGAAGAGATATGAAGAGTTACGAGTTGGGAATGACTCCTAGCTACTACAAACCCCAAGAGCCAAGGTACAGTGATGTGGAACAGTGCCACACTGTCCCCAACCACGAAGGGTCTCGAAACTACCCTTCACTAGGGCCTACACCAAGTGAAATGTTACACTACACAAAGTAATGTAACTATCTTCAATATCTTGAGGTGTACCCTTTTGGCGAGCTTCGAAATCACTTGAGGCTTGACACCAAGGCTCGGGCTCTTCATCACAAACTCATCCTTGAGTTCTTGATGGGTCTGCTGCACACACCTGCGACACATCGAACGTTCGACACAGGACAAAATAGAAACCGCGCACGACAAAATAGAAACCGCGCGCGAGACACAAACGACCGCGTAACACGCGTCTAGCGATAACTCGCTATTGACTCAACACACACACTCGACATCATGACTCAACATTCATACACAATTATAAGCATGAAATATATATTATCCCATGCCCTCATACCATTCCATACACACACACATGCATGCACACGGACAACAAGCCGAGTGCAAACCATAGGGTTGCACCAACAAACTCCCCCTCGGATTGTTGGCCTTAGGATATGTTGCTCTCTCAGTTCAGAGCCATCCCAGCCAGCTTGCAACACTTCCAATGCTGCTGCTCCACCAGCCTCTTGGTCATCATGTCAGCCGGCTGCCCCGTGGTCTTCACGTACCGCAACTCAACTTCACCCGCGGTCACCATGCTCCTTGTCTAATGCCACTTCACCCTCATGTGCTTTGTGAGTCCATGCAACACAGGGTTCTTAGCAAGAGCAATGGCACCCTGGCTGTCACAGTAGAGTGGGGTAGGTCCTTGCTGCTCCTCCCCCAATTCAGCCAACAAACGCCGCTGCCACACAATCTCCCGTACGGCACGGAAGAGTGCCATGTACTCGGACTCCACCGAGCTCAAAGCTTGGTCAACCTGCTTCTTGCTCTCCCAAGCAGTTGGGCCTCCACCAACACAGCATATGAAGCCTCCCACACTTTTCATGTCCTCTGGTTCCGATGCATATGACGCATCCGAGTAGGCGGTGAGGAACAAACGCCCGGGCTCAACACCATCCGCACCTTTTTGGCGCCTTTGTGCCGCCGCCGAGTATTGCAGCCCAACGGTCGGTGTTTGGCCAAGATACTTGGCCACCCTAATTCCAGCTGCTACCTGCTCCTCATTAGGGCATTGCACAACCCTAGCCAGCTGCCCGGTGGCAAACACGACGTCCGGTCGGGTGTTTACCGCCGCATACATGAGGCTGCCCACCAACGAGTGAAATCGGCGCCTCTCCTCTTCTCCAACGCTCTCCTCCTCTGGCCCCTTCACACACTTGAACCCAGAGGGAAAGGGAGTAGCCACATGACCTTCACTCTGGCCGAAGTTGGCAGCCAACGCCTCCAGGTACTTCCGTTGGTGCACTCGCATGCTCCGCTTCTCCACGTCTCGTTCGATGTGGAGCCCAAGGTAGAAGTTCACGTCGCCAAGGGACTTGCACTTGAACTTGTCATGCAGCTTCAGCATCACCTCCTTCACAAGGTCAGAGGATGGTGAGAATATGAGAATGTCATCCACATAAACCACCATGAAGCTCCTCTGCTCCCCCTCGCCAAGCATGAACAAGGAGTGATCGGCCGTTGAGGGAGTGAAGCCGATCTCCTCCAACACTTCGCGCAGCTTCATGTACCATTGCCTAGGGGCCTGCTTCAGCCCATAGAGGGCCTTCTTCAGCTTCCACACTCTGCCACTACCATCATCAAACCCCTCTGGCTGCGCCATAAAAATCTCCTCCTCAAGGATGCCGTTAAGGAATGCCGTTACGATGTCCATTTGTTTAACTACCCATCCTTTGATGGCGGCTCCCGCGAATAGGGTTCGCAGCGTCGTCGGCTTCACCACAGGGGCAAACAGCTCCTTGAAGTCCACCTTCTCCTTCTGCTGGTACCCCTTGGCTACAAGCCTAGACTTGTAGCGCTCGATCTTGCCGTCGGCATCCGACTTGATTTTGAAGAGCCACTTGGACGTTATCGCCGTACGCCCCTCCGGTAGCTCCACCAATTCAAACGTGTCATTCTCCTCGATGCTCTTCAGCTCACTCTCCATGGCCTTCTTCCACTCCTCAGCATCACTACTCTCCAAAGCCTCCTTGAGAGTTGCTGGTTCTCCCGGCATCTCCACCGGAGAGAAGAACGCGAAGGCACACTCCTCGTAGTCACTCTCCTCGTCGTCTCCGACCATCATTGCCGCTCCGGCCAGGGCTGTCTTGCCCTGCTTTCCCAGCGCATCATAGGTCAGCCTATTAGGGGGTTGAACTCTCCTCTTCCCCCTTCCTTCCTCCTCAGCTGCAGGGACTTGAAGGCCTTGGCATTGCTGCGGTGTGGCTCGAATCCGTGGAGCACTTGTGGTGCGGGAAGGGAGTGACGGTGCACGCTCGCTCACTTGCTGCACCTCCTCCTCTTCTTCCTCTGCATTATTGGCCTCCTCTCCCCCATTCACAAGGGAAGATTGCCTTGTGGTAGTGCTGCCGCTGCTCAGCTCCAAAGGCAGCTCCACATGCTCCAAACCGGAACTCTTCACCTCCCCAAACCGCACGCCTATCTTCGCCTCATTCTCCGCCTTCCAATCCTTGTACATGAAGTTCTCCATGAACTTGCAGTCCCTGCTCACCAAGAACTTCTTGGCGAATGGGTCCCAAAGAAGCCATTCCTTGCTGTTTTGAGCCATGCCCAAGTGCATGGCCCACACCGCCTTGGCACCAAGCTTGTTGTGCCGAAGATGCTTAGGCACGAGCGCCATGCACATGCACCCAAACACCCGAAGCATATCCACCTTTGGCTTCCTTCCTAGCCACTCCACATAGGGCACCCATTTGTCTGCTCCTACATGAGTCAAGGCTCTGTTCTTGGCCACACACGCACTCCGCACCGCATCAGGCCAGAAATAGTCGGGTAGCCCGGCTTCAATGAGCAACCCACGTGCCGCCTCCGTGATTGTGCGGTTCGCTCGCTCGGCGATGCCGTTCATTGCAGGGGAGTATGGCATGGTGAGGGAGTGCCGAATACCATTCTTCTTCAGCCACAACCCAAACTCCTTGCTCAGGAACTCTCCCCCTCGATCGGTGCGGATTGACTTGACTAGACGGTCTTGTTGCCGCTCCACCATCGGGAACCAATCCGTCTTCAACGTTTCAGCCACGTCGCTCTTCCTGGCCAGCACGTACACCCAAGTCATACGGGTGTAGACGTCCACAATAGTGAAGAAGTACTCAGCTCCAGCAGCTCCAAGCTTCAGGGGGCCCACCACGTCCATCACCACCTCATCAAGTGGTGCCTCAGCTGTTGCCTCCGAACTAGAGAATGGGAAACGGGTGAACTTGGCTTGCATGCACGTCGGGCAGCCAAGTACCTCATCGGGCTCCCCCTTCACACGTATGCCAGCAACCATCTCATTCTTCACTAGCTGCTGCAAGATGGGCAAGGCCACATGCCCCATGCGCCGATGCAAGGTGAGCCAATCACACTCCCCCGTAGCCGAAGTTGGATTGGAGAATGCCGCGCTCGCAATAGCGCCCCACATACTCTCTCCGTAGTCCTCCTCCGCTGCTGCCTCGGGGTTTTCCTCACCCTTTTGCTGCTCCTTGGCTGCTGCACCTCTCTCCATAGGTTCACCAAGCTTGCTGGTCCCTCCAGGTTTTCTCTTCTTGAGCTCATTCTCCTTAGCGCGACCGTTCGCGCCATCGTCGCTACCGACCGCTCCATTCTTGGTGCTGATGCTTGCTGCCACTTGCCTCTCCTTAGGCATAGGGACCACTGGGATCTGCCACATCTCATTGTAGAAATCCTTGTCCTCATGAAGGTCCCAGAGAATTCGATCGCCAAGCCTTGCGGTGTAGGTCTTGGCTCCCTTCGAGTTCGTGTCCATGCCGGCCTTTGCCAACTGCCGCACGGAAATCAGGTTTGCAGCAAGGCTGGGCACCCAAAGCACGTTCTTGAGGCCCACCATCTTCCCATCAGCACCCTTGAACATGGCCTTCCCCATGCCTTTCACCTCAGCTCGCTGCCCCAAAGCCGATGTGACATGCTTCACCGGTGACGGCTCGAGTTCGGTGAGCAAGTCCAGGCGAGGTGTCATGCTATAGGTAGCGCCACTATCAATCACCCAGTAGTCCAGGGGGTGTAGGGTCACCTTCCCCACAGCTGCTGGCTCCTCAAAGCCTTCATCCTTCTCTGGACCAGCCGGTGCTTGCGTCGACACGAAGTAGAATAGACTCGGGTATCGATCGTCGCTCGGGTCCTTGTCGTTGTCTCCGCTCTTCATGTTTGCAGCTCCGCCACCGCGACCGCCACGGCCTCCACGGCCTCGTCCTCTCCCTCCTCCTGCTCCTCTACCCTCTTGGCCTTGAGCAGGGGTCCAACCATCAGGGAGTTTGTAGCAGTCGCGCCACATGTGTCCGCTCTTGTGGCAATAGTGACACTCGCCGTCGAATCGGCCGCGACCGCGTCCGTAGCTCTTGTCGTCGCTGCCGTAACCGCCACTCCCGCGGCCTCCGCCGAAGTTGCTGCCACCAAACCTTCCTCCCCCTCGTCCTCTGCCTCTTCCTCGACCATATCCACGGCCGATGCTCGCTGCCCCAGCGCCATCCGCACTCGCCAACTCACGGCGGCGGAAATCCTCTTGAAGGATAGCCCGCTTCACGTCTTCGAGCGAGAGGCGGGGCAAGTCGCGATTCAGGTTGATGATGAGCGAGGACCATGATTCGGGGAGTAGGGCCAGCAATTTGGTCTTCTTTTGGAGCTCACTATAGTTCAAATCAGCTCCCTCAAGCCGCGTCAACAAGTCGAAGAATTTCTGCACCCCTTCTTCAACCGCTTCATCCTCTTCAATTCGTAACGTCGCCATTTGCCGTTCCAACACCACAGCTACCGCTGCTGTTGCAGGAGCGTGTACACCCTTGAGAGCAGCCCATGCTTTTGGTCCCTTCTCTGGTTCACGCTGGAAAGGCTTGATGTGACGGATTTGGCTGCTCCCCAACGCTTGCCCAAGTAGGAGGTAGCCTTGTGCGCTCTTCCGCACCCACGGGCTCTTCTCCGGGTCGTTCTCGGGACGCTTCTCTGTTCCTTCCATCACCTCCAGCAGGTCATAGTGGTCAAATATGTTCTCCATTCTGAAGGACCACTCAGCAAAGTTGTCACCATTGAACTTGTCAAGGCCAAATACTCTAGGCTCATCCCTAGATGGGCCAACACTTGGTTGCACGGGCGCCATGGTTGAATCACGGGGTTGGCCTTGAGCTTGGGCTTCTCCTCTGCCACCAGCACCTCTGCCACCCCTTTCCTCAGGTCCAGCCATTGTCGAAACTGCTCCAAGGGGCTCTGATACCACTTGTTATAGTCACAATAGGCTCCAATGTGCCTAAAACGAAAGATAGAGTGCACAGCCGGATTTCTGCACAGCGGCTTCAAACGTTCATAGCGTTCTGGTCACAGCTTCAAATGACCTGATTCAACTTGGATCTGGAGCGTCTGAACGTCGCCTACAATAGGCAATTTAGATCACACAATTTCACCAAGTATTGACGACACCGTGCCGGTTTGAACGAACGGCACTATGGCAGCCACTATAGTCTTAGAACACAAAATAGGAAGAGATATGAAGAGTTACGAGTTGGGAATGACTCCCAGCTCCTACAAACCCCAAGAGCCGAGGTACAGTGATGTGGAACAGTGCCACACTGTCCCCAACCACGAAGGGTCTCGAAACTACCCTTCACTAGGGCCTACACCAAGTGAAATGTTACACTACACAAAGTAATGTAACTATCTTCAATATCTTGAGGTGTACCCTTTTGGCGAGCTTCGAAATCACTTGAGGCTTGACACCAAGGCTCGGGCTCTTCATCACAAACTCATCCTTGAGTTCTTGATGGGTCTGCTGCACACACCTGCGACACACCGAACGTTCGACACAGGACAAAATAGAAACCGCGCACGACAAAATAGAAACTGCGCGCGAGACACAAACGACCGCGTAACACGCGTCTAGCGATAACTCGCTATTGACTCAACACACACACTCGACATCATGACTCAACATTCATACACAATTATAAGCATGAAATATATATTATCCCATGCCCTCATACCATTCCATACACACACACATGCATGCACACGGACAACAAGCCGAGTGCAAACCATAGGGTTGCACCAACAAGAGAGAGGGAGGGATTGAGAGAGAGGGAGGGGTTGAGAGAGAGGGAGGGGGCGAGAGAGAGGGAAGGGGTGAGAGAAAGGGAGGGGGTGAGAGAGAGGGAGGGGATGAGAGTGAGGGAGGGAATGCGAGTGAGGGAGGGAATGAGAGTGAGGGAGGGAATGAGAGAGATGGATGGAGCGAGAGAGAGGGACAGGGTGAGAGAGAGAGACGGGGTGAGAGAGAGGAAGGGGGTGAGAAAGAGGGAGGGGGTGAAAGAGAGGGAGGGGGTGAGAGAGAGGAACGGGGTGAGAAAGAGGAAGGAGGTGAGAGAGAGGGATGGTTTCAATGAAAGGGAGGGGGTGAGTGAATGACTGTGAAGAAGCGGCAGAGATGTGCAAAATTGATATGATTTGACGTAACATGGTGCCACATGGTGCGTGAATGACTCTAATTGTAACTTATCGCCCTCCTACTCTACGAGCGTTTCCTAGCTAAAGCACTACCTAAGCAAGGTATCGACTTACGGGAAGAAGAGGATGGAGGAGATGAGTGGTGATTGGTCCACAATTGTGGACAACCACCCACTAAAAGACAAGCATGGTTGGAATCCAACCCAACCCCACATTGGTTGGAATTCCAACCAATGACAATTGAACATTGTTGTTACAAGTTACAACATGTAACATAACCATTCTTATCACAATTCTATTGCTCTCATTGGTTGCTAATCCAACCATTGTGCCACCTAAGCAAGCTCACACCAAGGAGCTCCTTGCCCTTGTTGCCATGGAGGAAGTGGAGCTTCCCAAGGAGGTCTAGGGGGGGATTGAGCTCACCAAGCTCATTCTCAACTCCCAACTTCCAATTAACCAAAATGGAAATGGGATCTTCTCTCTAAGTCCAAGTCTTTTCCCTCACAAGTGCTCCAGGCGTCTACTACCTTCTTGGTGAAGTTACCTTTTCTCTCCCAAGGCTTCACCTATCAAGCTTCCAAGACTTGAGGCTATTAATAGGACTAGTTTTTCACGGTGTGTGTGTATTCTTGGCGTTTTATAAGCCTACTATTGACCCTTTTGTGGGCATTCATTTATAAGCCCGGGTCTTTGTTGTGAGTTTAAGGGCGTTTTCATATAAGCCCGTGTTACATTTGGTATTCAGAGCTTTGGTTATCCTTGGCCCTGTGTGGCTAACTAGATTTTTTTTTTTAGGAGTTTCTAGATCTTTGATCTAGAATAGTCTCAAGCTCTTTCTTTAAGAAGAGTTGAGAAACTCCGAAGATCAAGAAGTCTTCTTCAAGGATTTCCAATCTATAAAAGCTCTTTGAGCTTTAAGAGAATTTATTTCTCTGCCCACCTTTCTTGGTGGAAGACTCATCGCTATTTTTATAATAGCAGAGTGTTACAGATCTAAGAGATTTGTTAAAAGATTCCTCTAAATTTTCTCTTTGAGCAATTTGGGGAACTCTCTCTCTATTTCCTTATTGGAATAGAAGACTTATTTAACAACTCTTTCTCTGTACCTTTCTCTTTGTGAGAATATTGATCTATATAAAAGATTTCTGGAAATTTTCAGAATCTCTTGCCTATCACCTTGAGTGATAGAGGACCGTTACTAAGATCATATTTCTTAACAAAGAAGAACAACTCTTCTTAAGCTCCATCTTAACAACCCCTCTATGGCTACTCCTCATGAGGAACCACCAAAGGAGGATGTCCCTATGACTTCAGTTGATGAACTGGAAGACTTTCCAGACCTTGATCTTAATGCTAAGGACGTCATAGGGGACCTTCCTGAGGAAGAGGAAGAAGCCCTGGGAAACCAGGAAGAGAATGGAGAACAGGAAGGGCTTGATGATGTTGGCACCGATGATAATTTCCCTGAGGAGTTTGAAAAACTTCAAACCACGGTGGCCGAACAAGCATCTTCCTTGCTGCAGCAGAAACGCAGGGTCAATGAGCTTGAGGCTCAAGTTGCTGAACAGAAAGTTTCAATCGAAACCATCCAGTCTCAGCTTACCAAAGTTACCGCCGAGGCTCGTCAGTTTAAGAGGTCTCTTGGCCTCAAGAACAACCAGATCAAGAGCCTTGAGGACACCCTGCAGCAGCTAAGTGCTACGTGCATCAGTCTTGAATCCACTTGCACGACGCTGGAAGCTCAGTATAGGGAGCTCAGGAGGAGGCCGATATATCGCCCCCCTCCTAACAATGGCCAGCCCTCTACCTCTGCCGGAGCTCCAACAGAGCAGCCGATGTCGCCAGACGCACCCGCATTTGGGTCGCTCCCCACTAGCTTGCCGAATTTCATTCATGGCAAGACGAACGTGGAATCCTGGCTTCATCACGTGGAGGAAATGCTTTCCGTCCACAACGTGCGCCCTGATGCACGCGTTATTGCTGCTACTGGTGCTCTCGATGAGACTGGGCGCAACACAATCTACAGCACTATGAAGCTCGCTGGAGCAACGTCGGCCACCTTCGGATGGTCAGATTTTTGCAGTGCGATGAAAGACGCTTTCCATGTGCAAAAGACTGACCTGGAGGTGCGCAGCCGCATCAAGAGCATGCAGTGTGGAACTCGCACTGTGCAGGAGTATGCCAACGAGTTCGAAAGGACTCTGTTACTCCTGACAGTCGCTCTCACTGAGAACGAGGCAATGTCGTCGTTCTATGAAGGCTTACCCCAGTGGCTTCGCGAGAGGCTCGTGCTGGGCAGGAACCAGTACACTACGTACAAGGAGCTCAAGACAGCTGTCATTGATCTTGACGTGAGCGTCCGCACCTGCCTTAATGCCGCCAAGGGTCACTTGCAGAACGGGGGTGAAGGCCCTAGTGGCCAGACCAATGCGGCGCAGCCTTCCAATGGGGAAGGCCCTTGGAAGAAGAGGCCATTCCAGCCGCAGAGCCAGCAGAATGAGCCACAGCCTAAGAAGCCTTTTCACAAGGGTGGCCAGCAGAGGAACGGAATTCCTTTCTGCACCTACTTCAAGAAGTTTGGCCATACGAGGGGGCAGTGCCGTACGCTGAAAAGGTCTGAGGATTCTGGCAAGCCGCAGCAGGCGAACAAGAAGGGAGATGGACCTTCAGGCTCGCGTCAGGATTTTCCCAAGTCCAACTAGGTTGTGGGTACCTAGCTGGACACGTAGATCGAGGTGATGAAGCTTACGTCCTTCGTGACGATGATCTATTAAAGCTAGAGAAACTTGCTGAGTGCAAAATCTCTTGTTTGTTTGCTTCTTCTTTGAATGAAAATTCTGTTTTCCTGCCTCGATTGCACCCACTTACACAACTATCTATCGAAACACTCAGAGATAAGTTCTCTGTCATTTGCTGCAACGTAGATGCATTGCCCTCCGTAATGGACCTGGTGGGTCGTTGCACCCAGAAGCACCCATTGACTTCGGTCAGTCTGGTGACTCGAACCATCAAAGGCAAACACTTCCCCTTGCTTAAGGGATGGACAGTACTTGCCGCGTGGGACAAGGGATATCACATGTGGTGGCCTGACAGTCGATCCTATGGTCGAGCAAAGCACAACGTCAAGGCTTATTATCTCCCACCAACTCGCATCGTTGCATGCCCCATTCGACCAAAACATCAGCAAAACCTATTGCTGGTGGGTCGAATAGACGGGGATGAAGCAAAAATTCTTGTTGATACGGGCGCGACTGTGTCTCTCTTCGATGAAAACAGAGCCACAAGTCGTGGGGTCCTCGTTGAAGGGCCGTCTTGCCCCATTCGTCTTGGTGACGATCGCGTCATCCCAAGCAAAGGGCATACACGTATCAATATGGAAATTCAAGGCTATCACGAGACCATTAATGTTTACGTCCTTCCATTACTGGCAGGCGTAGATCTTGTTCTCGGAATGGACCGGCTTCGAGCCTATGAGGTCATCCTTGACTTTCAACACAACACAGTAACTTTTGCTAAGAATGGTGTTGTGATTCGGTGGCATGTTTTAGGGGATGTAAACATTGTTGATGTCCCACGTTCCGATCGCCCCGACGTTCAGTTCGCCCTTGCAAATCAATTTGGGCAAGATGCAAAATCAGCTGATACACTCTTTGTGGTACAGCTAGAAGAAACCACACAATCGTCTCCTGAGATCGAGGATTTCCCTCCTCAGATGAAGGCTCTGGCGGAGGAATTCAAGGAGGTTTTCGAACCAATTCCTGACGGACTTCCCCCAGACCGCGCTGTGGGTCATACCATTCCAGTGGAGCCTGAGAAGGCACCACCGTTTAGACCTCTGTATCGCCTCAGTCCAGCTAAGTACGAAGAGGCTAAGCAACAAATCAAGGATTATCTGAAAAAGGGATGGATTGAACCAAGCGCGTCACCATACGGAGCACCAATCTTGTTTGTTAACAAGAAGGGCGGAGGCCTACGCATGTGCGTCGAATATCGCGCCTTAAACAAGATCACAATTAAAAACAGATATCCGCTGCCTCGCATTGAGGATCTGTTTGATCGCCTCCAGGGTGCCCAATGGTTTAGCGCATTGGACCTCGCACAGGGGTACCATCAGTTGCGCATCACCAACGACGATGTACCCAAAACAGCGTTTCGCACGCCGTTTGGACATTTTCAATGGCGTGTGCTGAGCTTCGGTCTCACTAACGCACCGGCCTCTTTTCAGAGGGCGATGAATGATGTCTTTCGTGAGGCAATCGGCCAGTTCGTCTTGGTTTACCTTGACGATATACTGGTATATTCCAAGACCGAACAGGAGCACACAGAACACCTAAAATGGGTGTTAAACAAACTACGAGAGCACAAATTCTATGCTCGCTTATGGAAGTGTCACTTCTATAAGCGCGAACTATAATATCTGGGACATCTTGTGGGGAACAGTGGATTGAAAGTCGATCCCAAGAAAGTGGTGGCTGTTGAGAACTGGCCCGTTCCACAAGACGTGGGTCAAGTCAGGTCCTTTCTGGGCTTAGCCAATTATTTTCGCCGTTTCTTGGAGAATTATTCCACCATTGTTGCACCATTGACCGCACTTACTCGAAAGGGTACCGCGTGGGAATGGACCAGACAATGCCAACAGGCATTTGAAGCGGTCAAACAAAAGTTGACCAATGCTCCCGTTCTGGTATTACCAGATCCAACAAAACCCTACGAGGTAGTCACAGACGCCTCAACAGTAGGGATTGGCGCAGTCCTCTTGCAAGAAGGACGCCCTGTGGCATACGAGAGTAGAAAGCTCTCCCCGGCAGAGCAGCGCTATACGACTTCCGAACAAGAACTGTTGGCAGTCGTCCATGCGCTACAAACATGGCGATGTTACTTGGAAGGTGTGGACTTTGTTGTCACAACTGACCATTGTCCAAACACCTACTTTTCCAGCCAAGCCACCCTCACTCGTCGCCAAGCCCGATGGGCTGAACTCCTTAGCGGATTCACCTACGATATTCGAT